AACCGAGGAAAGCTGGTTTCGAGTTAATATAAATAATATGTAATCTGGCTTAAAAATATTGCTATATTTTGTTGCAACGCACCAGGTCTTGTTTAAAGTTGTAGCACTGTTCGGATGTTTAAATTTGCTCGTAATGTTGTATTCCATCGCCCTTATTTAAAAGGAGCTTTTCAAAGAATTAAAAATTGAAACTCTTTATTGAAGAGCCAGACTTTTTAAAGGGAATTGGAGCGCTTACGGTAAGGTCTGTAACGGCAGATCGAGGAACCGGCAAATCGGAGGCAATTTGGCGCCTTTTTAAGTAGAAAATGTGGTGTCTTCTGTGTCTTATCTACCGCAACCTGGGACAGCGACAATCAAGATGTTTTCCTCATGATTTTGTCGAAGTGAAGAAAGGTATAGGTTTCTGTTGTCCGGATTTTTATTTATTTTGATGTTGCTATATAAGTTATTATTTAGTTGCCACAAGACATGAAAGCTACAAAAACCCTTTGAGTGCAGAATTGTCAAACTCAGGAAGAAATTAAACACTGTTTGCCAATCACACTATTTCTCAAGATGCTACAAGATTTCATGGCCGCAGCAAAAACTTGTAGACCTCAAATAACCGCAAAAGGAATATGCAGGAGCACGTGACATGCCGAAACATCTAACTTCCGCTGTAAAACCTCCGAGAACCTTTCATTCAAGGATTTTAATCTTTTGAAGTCGCTAGCCCCATCGGCTAGCTCCTTTTTTAATTTTATGACTGCCTGCTATTTTCCTTGTTTACATGTTACTTAGTTTCTTAGTAGCAAGAGAAAAATACCAGGCTCAGTAGATTCTGTATCGACAGTTGTTGTATTGAGTGAATGAAACCCTCAGTATGTTAGGTACACAACAATAAATTTCGCTTTTAATTCGATTTCATTCCTGCTGAACATCTCGTTTGTTTCGTTTGATATGTCCTCTTCAAATATTTGCCGTTGAGATTGTATATCATTAACAGCCATTTCCATCCACAGCCACATTAATTTGGCTTAGAAAACTCCGTTCATAATTCGCGACCTCAGATCTCGCACAATTACAGTCGCCGCGCAAGCGAAAGATGCAGTCCGTGTTCGATCTGTAACACAGTTGGAACAACATACTTTTTACTTCAAAATTAACTGTGGGTTGATGCATTGTGGTCCTTTGTGGAATTAGTAAAAAGCTCCAAAGCACTGCACAAGTGAGTTAACCAGTTAAGTAAAGTAACTAAAGAGGTTGATTTTCAATATTTATTTACCCGCTGTGGAGGGCCGGGACTTAATGTTGTTCGTGATAAAACGTATGATATGCAGCCAACTGTCAAGATTACAAGCAAACTTGAAGACGTCGCATGAGTGTATCACCTTTTTCTTTTTGTTATTAGGCTTTAAGTGGGTATTTTTAACCCGATAGAAGATCAGAACTATCATCACATAACTCTTCCACGCTGGCTACCGCCATTGTTGGCAGCAATTCAAATCGCGCCTCTGTGACTCAGCGTGTGACGTATGATCATAGCTCTGCTCTGATTGGATATTACTAAGAAGGCGTGAAAAATATTCCGCGAAAGCTATTTCTATAAATAATTTTTCGTCGGAAAGGGTTGACTCCAAGGGCTTATATGGGAGATGAAGGCTCCAAGTACTCGGCTCCTGATCACAGCTAGATCGCTCTACCCCGCTCGTTTCAACGTCCTAGCTTCTTACGCCCTGCTGTCACTCAAGGGCTCACAGTTGCAGCACTCAAAACATCCATATTCATTTACATAATGCGGAGTAACTTCTCTGCAATAAACACAGAACTTTTCTGACATTCTATACATTTAGATTACATTAATTTGAAATAGTTTATCAAAAAGTTGTGATTCCTCATTTGATCTGTGAAACTGAATTTGGTGTTATGTATAACATCTAATAATGATTTACCTTTTTGTCTCTCCAAAAGGTAATATAAGCACCAATAACCGCACAAAACACCGTCTCTTTCTAGTATTTCATCGGACGAATACACAATTTTTTTACCACTTGTTTTCAGATAGTTTTTGATCTCATTAGGCATGATCAATCCAAACGGATTAAAGTATTCACAAAATTCTTTATCCACACTTTTATAACAAATCCAATGACTTCCCCCGCCAATTGATTCGTCTAAATTTACTGTTCCTGTTTCCAATCTGTGTATTTTCTCTGGTAAATTATCGCGGCTATAAATACCTCTGAAATATTTTATTCCAAGTTGTTTGACCAAGTGTAACAAATCAATATTTGACAATGGTTTGTTGATGAATTTTTTAGTATTGTTCCTAGAATTGGGATTGAATTGAATGGACTGTTTTTGCCGAGCAGCAATCCCTTTCCTCTTCATTTTTTTTTTTTTTACTCCCGCACCAACTGGATTGTTCCATGTTCCATGTTCCAAAAAAGGGTGGTGACATATAAGGATACGGATTATATATTCCATGGCCATTAGTTGTACCACCACGAACGTATACTGGCATTGTATTAGTGGTGCCAGTTCTATCTGCTTGGAGACCCTTTCCCGCCAATGCGTTTAGTAACAGAGGGACTCCTATACTTGCTAGTAAAGTTCCTAAAAACCCACCCTGCTGTGTTCTCGTTGGTTTGATAACCAGTTGACCTCCTGACTGGAGAGTATTAAGAATATCCTTTTTCTGGCCTGCGGACAGTAAATGCTTGTATTAGAACAATTGTGCTATTTTATCCTGTGGAATAAGAAAACTTCTTCGTTGGCCCTTTCCAAATATTTTATCCACACCTAGACTGGCTAAGCCGGATAAAGTTCCCGTTCAATCGGTGCGATAGCCTTTTTAGCTAGAGGCACGGCCATTGGTCACAACTTGCTTCCTAAACTTATTAATGATCCCCATAATCTACCATCATGTTTAATAGCTCTTCTAATTTGTGTTTTTGATCTTTAATATCTGGCCCAGCACCCTGGCTCTTTGCTTTTTTCAATTTATTGATCTGAGTTTTTTTGAGCATTAATTCATGTGGACCAGTTAATTCATTTTTGGCAAGTCTGATTGTTATTGCTGAATTATTGTTGTAAACTCGCGAAAGCTTTTCCAATTGTCCTTTGCTGAGGGACACTCCATAAGAATAATATTTTGTCATAACGTCTATATGTTATACGTTACATAATTTTAATGTTACTTAATTTATGATCTGAGTATTATTTTAACATCCCTCTGGATTAGTTCAACATCTTGCCCATAGAGAGTCAATACGTAAACAGAATAGGCTGTTGTCGTTGTTCCAGATAGCTCATATTTAAATGTAAGCTTTTTGGTGCCGTCCTTAATGTCCATTTTTTGTTTTGTTAAATCAGAATATAAAAAGGGAAATAGGTTACTTAAATTAGCTCTATTGAGTAATGACCCTTCACCACATTCATTATTTTTGTGATCATATTTCAGAACATCCCTGTAAACACGGGTCATATCAGTAGTTGGTGTATAATCGTTACCGTTCCCAACCTCCAGATGACAATTAGATAAGGTTCTTTGGTCAGTTGAGACAGAGAATGTATTATACAAGAATGGATTAGCCGTCTGGGCATCAATATTTGCATCATTGATTATAAATACAAAAACGTGCCTGGGTTTCGAAATACCAGTTGAGATTCTGAAATGTCCAGCTCTCTGTCGGCTGCTATTTGATCTTTCAATATTTTCTCTCAATTAAGTCCACGTGTGCGTTTTAAGATATTGGCTCATGTATTATGATTGGCCTTCACTGTTAAAAGTTATTCGTGGAACAAACAATTGTATTCTGGTGATAACCACCCCACAATCAGCCCCGGCTTGCCAAATTAGATTACAATCTGACTCAATTTCAAAATTCATTTCAACCCTTGTATTGGGCAACAGCTCATCTTCTAACATTTCGAAAAATGAATAACTGTTCAATGGTATTTCAGTGTTTACTGTGGATGAGGTACCCAGAAGTGCTTTCCGAAGGGCAAAAACTTTATTGTAAGCTGCTCGTCTTTTGGCTAACTGATTTGTACCACTAACTTCAAATTTCCGCTCTTCCGCTGATCTGGATGTATCAAGGTAGAAAAACTCATTAGTCGCTGTTTTTGCAGCGTAGGATGGACTGTACTCAAGCAAATTTTCAATATTAACAGCGTGATTTGCATCAATACAATCGTACACCTTTTTACCATTTAACTTAATATCAAAATGTTTTCAAAATGAGTAAGACCTATTCACGATACCATTATGAACTGCTACTGCAATATTACCTCCATTGGCCAGCGAATTTACTTTGAAATCAAGACTGATTAGAGCATTTACCAGTCGAATGGTGTAACCTCTCCGCTGTTATCAACAACAAATCTGTAGCCATCCTTTTTCTGATTAGCATTATTTGCAACAGTTGTATTCAATGCTGTTTCTAGGTAAAAAATAACATCTTCATGTCTTTCCACATATTTTGGATCCCTAAAAGATTTCATATATTAATAGATTACATAAATTTTCATCTGGCCTTAGATAATAATTAGATAAATTTTCTCACTCGGCCCCCAGATAATAATTGATTTACTCGTTCATTGATCTCATAATCTCTTAGCTCTCTTGTTTGTGGATTTTCTATTGATGATGCCGCTACTGGTGTTTTTGTGTTTTTAAAATGGCCGGCCTGGGGTTGACAATAAAAGAACCTTCTCAGGAGGGAGTGGGGGAATGGGGATGATGGGGGAAGGGTAGGGATGGGAAAATGGGGGGTCCTCCTGAGAAGGTCTGGTGGCCACCAGTTTTGTTAGTTTTTTATTTGATAATGGCCGTAAGCATAACCATATATTCCATCCTCATGGATATATCTTTTATCATCAAAGAAGCTCAAACTAATTTTGTTTAACTCATAGCTACCAAGTTGATGATGGTCACTCCTAATTGTGCGCATACTGTGTAACGTTTGTTTCCCATTCAATAAGCAATCTTCATAATTCTCATGAGTAATATTCTTCTTTATAACATCTTTTCTGACACCCTTAGCGGTCTTTTCATTTTTACCATTGTCTTTCACATAAGAATACATTTTACTGCTGAGTCCAATAAATTCCACAATAGGCATGCCTGCTGCTTCATCTTTAAATTTACCGATAACTTTTTTGTTTGTTGAATCAAAAAAATTACTGTCTTTTGGATAATCAATGTTGTCAAACAAATTTCTATCCTGCCATAACTCCTCATAAATATCCTGTGTTTCTATTTCATAACAAAGGCTGTCTTTATCTGTAAATAATAATTTAGCCTTGTTATTGTATCTCTTTTTAATGTAATTGTAATGAAAATCATACATGAGTGTCTTTGAAAGATCTAAAATGCACATTCCAACATAATCTGGTCTATCAAGTTTTAGTGTTTCTTTGATTTTATGAAACGCAACAAGGTCCTCAGTGAATATTTTACTTTTAACATATGTTGGCTTGCTTGCAAGTTTGGATAACTTATTTTGATCAGTCACCAATCTTACATCAACACGCTTTCTTAAATTTTCACAAGTTTTGCCAAAAACACTGTTATTCATAAGCTTGACAAAGTCCTTTTCAAAAGAATTTTTTGCACCGGCACGCTTCTGTGTATTGAAATCAATGCATTGTCTCAACCATGGGCTCTGATCAAATTCTAATACTCTGTGGACTTTTTTCAATTTTAGACCAAGTGATAGATAAAGTTGCAAATTCCTGTAGTGCAATACATAATTCTTCTTTTCTGTTAATGTTGGGGTTAATTTGGCTACCTGCCCTATTGTTACTCCACACTTCTCCTGGATAGTTTAACAGTATGGTGAAAGCATCTCTTTTGTTACCTTCATTTTTTCTGCTGCCAAAGGATAATCATTATGCATTTCATGCAACTCTTCTTGATATTCTAAATCAACATCTAGTATATATCCTTTTCTATTACCTGGTAATATTGACTTATTCATAATCTTCTCAATTTGCTTTTCTGTTAGCCATTTAAATCCACCTGATGGAAGATATTGGCTCATCGCGTAACCGTATAAATTATCAGCGTCCAGATACATAATATACTTGCTGGGTTTTTCTTTGTTGTACTCTTTCATGTATTTATTATTTGCTTCCCCATATCAGTTAGCAATATAGGAAATCCCACCACGCAATCCCTTTTCAATAAACTGGAACATATCAACATCTGTCATAAGCTCAAGTTTAATACCAGTCATTTTTAACATAGCATCCCAGTAGTGGTAGGCGTCAGTAGTGGTCTCAAAGGATGCCGCCGCCGCCTATTGTTTTAGGCTATTGTTCTCAGTTGTCAATCAAATTAAAAATTCAAGATGGCGCCCGAGAGCAAAAACGTTCTAAAGATCAGGGAATCACCAATTGTTGACAGTTTAATCATGTCGCGCGACGAAAAAGACGTAAGGGTTTATCGGAACCTAGCCGAAAGCGAAGCAAGATACAGACTGAAGGAGAGGATTCTGGAACAAATGATCTTATCCGTGGATAATTTAGATAATGTCAACGAATCATTCATGATGAAACTCGAACACCTAGAATGTGTGTGTCTAGTTAACGCGTTCCAGTGAATGGTTTTGTATGTTAATTCATGTTCGCTTGGATTTTGCTTGGAAACTCGTAGAGTCTTAGAGAAAAAAGAAGACCTGAAAGAAAGAAAGATTTGAACCTGTAAGCTTAAACTAAAGTTACCTGGCGTCAGTACTAAGACTTAACGCGTTGCGCTAAGCCCGTTCCCGACGAAAGTTGACTACAAAATAAAGAAGTCTTTCTGAATATTGGTCATGACTTTTATTGATGTGGTGGTTCCTAAAAGAACCGTTTTTGTCATAAGACAATTAGTGGGATCTGTTCTTCCTACTTAGGAATTGTGAATAGAACGCCCAGTTAAATGGGTAGGCTGAGATGATTTGCCATTTCTCGCCTGGTACTTTCTCCGAATAGTAGAGGGCAATGTGTTTAGCAGGAAAGCCCTCAGGATCAACACCAATTTGCTGGTTTATATTAAACACAAACAAATAGAAGTGTCCATGATATTCATTCCATCCTTCACGTATGACTGAGACGTCTTCGCTCTCCTCACGGCAAGAAAACCCTCATTTACCAATAATTTTACAAAACGGTAAATCCTAGAAAATTCGGCATTCACCATCTGTTTTCCCACTCCTGAAAACATCCCAAAAATTGCTAATTTTCCTTGTGTGAATCCAAGGAAAATTGGGAGTTAACTTGGCGTTTTCCTGCACTTGAAAATCTCAGGCAAACACCGTATTTTACAAGGCGTTTACATGTATTTTCCAGACCAGGTGAACGCGCAGTTTGTGCGGCATTTTCCTACTGTATTTGTTAACAGTTAACGCAAGGAAAACATGTCATTAACCTACGGTTTTCCACCTCTAGAAAAACATCGACGAAGATGTTGTTTTCTAAGCGTTTTCTGTTGTTTTCCGCGGTGGCCAAACGTAGAGTTTTTCGCGGGTTTTCATTTGACAGCAAAACATAAGGGAAACATGACGTTCATTTGCCATTATCCTTCCAGTGATAATGCTACGTTAGCTCCTCGTTTTCCTTAGTAGGTGAATGCGGTGTTTTCTAACCGCACCTGTTAACGGTTAACTCGAGGAAAACATCATCAGGGACACAGAAAACGTGGGTCTCGCGAAAAGTTTGGCCCGATTTCGAAGATCTCAGAAGCGTTTGTGATGCCGGTCTCGAAGTCTCGTTTTCAGGTGACTCCGTGCGTTTCGGAGTTTTTAAATCACGGCCTCGAATTTTAAAACCAGGGTTTCTCAGTCTCGCAGTCTCCAATTTACAATTCTTTACCATTATCATCGATCAGGTTCCAGCGTGAACCGAGATCGAACCACCTCGATCTACCGAGCCGTTTTCTGCAACCCGTATGCCGACTTCTGGTCACTTCTGTAACTTACCATTACGAGAGACCGTTGTGATCATCAAAATGCCAGTCTATTAAACCTTATTACAGAATGCAGCATTCAGAAAGCGGACTTGTTAATAATTTGTAATGGTAACAGGACTGAGTGGAGTCCAATTCGGTCTGTAATCATACGAGTGATTAACAAAATCGGACGACTGCGTAGCGGGAGTCCGATTTGTTTAATCACAACAAAATTTGTGATATATAGGGCTCTTTTTAAATCAAAACACAAGAAATTCCAAGATTTTTTCGCTAGCAATGAAAAAAAAAAAACCATTTAAGCACGCGCGTGATGGCGCGTACTGTCGACCAATTACTTAGGCATGACGCGTACTGTCCTATTTAACTGTCCAATTAAGGCTGAAATCAGGGCAGTTGAGAACCAATCAGATTTGAGAATTTTGTTATAGTTATGATTAATAGCCAAATTGGGACGTTGCTGTAGACCCTGTGAACAGAAAGGACAATTTTTCTTGCCAGCTTATACAGGTTGTTTTAATTTTACTGGAAGGGAAATGGAATTGATGATATTTGCCTCAAATTCAAATCTAAGACAAATCTGATGTCAGATTTGTCCACCCAACAAATGTCGCAATTGTAAGACAAATCTGTTATTACACTTGTCTCGAAGAAATGTAGGACAAATGTGTTTCAAATATGCTATTATGTTTGCCCTTGTAAAAGGTTTTTTTAAAACAAGACAAATGTGACGAGTAAAAATTCTTTATCGTTAACTTTTCATTAAGTATAATCGCAATTTCATTTACCAACAATTGTTTCGAAACGTCAGGGATACTCCCTGATTCCTTGTCTATCCGAAGACGACACGTTACTGAAGGACAAGTTATTAAGGGGAAAAGGAAAGAATCAGCTGTCAATGACCGACCTTGGTAACTATTTTGAGAATATTTTATTTGGAAGAAAAAGTAAAGCTCCTCTTAATAAATTAAATGACAGGACATTCTTGTTATGCTTCAGTAGACAGTTAAGGCAGTTTGGGTATTCTTAATACTTTTCTGTGATTTAATCACTGAAGACAATTTGCTGTCTTGGTAAATATTGAATTGGATAGGATGGGGGTAATCATTGTATTTGTTAGTTCACTCCATGATCATTTTTTTGCCTTTTGGTTGTGACATCTAGCTGATAATGACCTTTGTAACATTAGGCACTGAGATAGCTGGCTTATTTAGGGTGTCATGGGCATGACTGGGTATTTGGTGATTCTGGTACGTTCAGTGATATCTGACAATGAATAGATTATTAATTGCCCATACATATTATCAGGTTTGGTAATGTACACTGGTCCTGATTCTATCCACGGGCTGGGTGAGATATGAAGGGTTGCATGGTAACTGTTTGGTTTGGGGTCACTTTGGCATTTTCTCATAATATTTCAGAATCTCTAGAGTAATTTGGTTGGCTTTACATTTTTTTTTGCATGCCTCTTGAACAGCATTAATGTGCATTAAAGATATGTGATCTTAGACTAATAAGTTTAAGTTTAAGTCGACCTTCAGACTTAGTAGGAGTGGAGTAAATGTTTCAGACGATAAAAATACTATATTTCACTCTTTGACAGGAGACAATTCATTCTAAATAGGCACTTTGCAACACTTGAATAGCAAAATAATCAAGATGACCTACAGATATACAACAGGATCCTGACTTTGCAAACCCTTGTTTTTTTTTATAACCTCCTGACAATTCAAACCAAAACTGACTACCTTTCCCCAAACCAGTGTACAAAGAAAATCATTTTTACAGCTTGCCATTCGGGCAAGCTTAAGCTAGCATTTACTAGCCAAGATGTCATTTCAACTAGCCCCAAAAACGTTTTGACTAGCAGAATTGATTTCATGGTTCTTCTGTTATTCGATCCTCAAAAAACATCACTTGCCCATTGGGCAAGTTTAAAGCAGAATTCACTAGCCCGATAGCAAAATCCACTAGCCCTGGGCTATCGGACACAGTACTTTCTTTGTACGCTGCCCTAAACACACACTTATCCTAAAACCAATTATTATTAATTGAATATTTTTCATTTTCTGCAAGAGGTTTGGCAGCTTTTGCACTATCCCTGAAAATAGAACACCTGAGTGCAGGTTAGCCCTTGGTCCCCCTAGAAGCTAGCCCTTGGCACTCATTTAGGAACTCGGTCAGTATTTATCCTACATGTGCATTGCAATCAAAATAAAAAATAGAACTAGAAACACTGTACAATCAAGAATTCTGGATAATTCGTGTCCAGATAATAGTTTTATTGAGGTTCAACTGTACCGTGTTTTCTTGGACAAATGAAAATTAAACAACAGAGGATGTCATCGTTAACAAAAGTTCCCACTAATATTTTCCTAGATACTAGCAATGTTGAACTCAGCTTGTTACAGCGAGAACTTTTTCCCTCTTGTGAATTATTTCTCCAGATATACAGTGTGAACTGATTCTCTGAACTGGAATGAAACATGCAGGTCCAAACAAATCAAATGTATTACACCAGATTTCCAAGGGAAATCCAAATTCATAGCGATCTGGATGTTTTGAATACCAGTTCACTCTCGCAAAATAAAATTCATATTTCTGGACAGCTGAATTGGATGATACTGGTTTAGTCTTAATGCAGTGACGGAAGAATGTGATGACTTTTCCAGGTCTTTGATCATCAGATCCTCTGCTTGTGGCTAATGATCCTTCTGTCCCTGCCCAGTTAGCCAGAATATAAGAATTTCTTGTAGTTTGGCTTTGCTGTGATCCATAAAGCACTGAACCAACTTTAATGGCTTTGAATTCTGAGATAGTAAATGGCATTTCGATGGAAGTCCTTGCATCAAGTCCCAGAAGCTCCTGATACACTACTTTAAGTGCATTTAGATCATCACTGTCCAGTGATTCATCTTTAGCAGGTGACACTGGAGAAATGCAACTGTTTGCTGTCCAGTCACAACTGCTCAAATCTTTAATAGATCCTTCCCTATGTTCTTGTAGACTAAGGTATTGTTCTAGTGGCTCCTGGGTTATCTTGACTGACCCTGAACCCTGACCATTCTCGAAAAATTCAGTAAAAGATTCTTGATACAATTCAGGGTACTTGAAGTCCTTAACTTTAGCTTGCATTAAAAATTTCCTCATTAACTGAATTTCAGTTGAACGGTTATTAGTGTGAAAAGAGCCCAAAATGCCATTAAATCTTTCAAAACTAAAACACCAGAAAGAATGAAAAGGCCCATAATCAAGAAGACATTCCTTTAAATGACCATGAAGGTGCATATTGGGAGTAACAAGATCCTTTCCATAAAGTTCCTCAAAGGTTCTGCAAAATTCCATTAAGTGTCTGTCTCCAAGTTCAATATCGCCATAAGTCAAAACTTTCTTTCCTAGCAATTTACATGCAAGAACAAAGTGACGCCAACACTCAAGATGGTTTTCAGGTAAAACACCCTTCAATGCAAACAATGAGTAAACTGTTGTCCAGTTTTTCCACTGGTCTGCAGTAAATCCTGAAAAGCTGCAAGAAATTTTCCCGGGAATACGGCCGATGTCTTGTGGTACTGTCATTGAATCTACCAGTTCTTGGATTCTTTCAAAGTCCTCATCACTGATAAACTCATTTCTCTCTTTTAACCACACATTTTTCATCATGTGTTTAGCTATCCCCAAATAAAGATTATGCATGGGATCCACAACAAAGTAACGTATACAGTCAAAGTACTCAAGCTCTTGCAACACAGAATACCTAGCACCTAGCTCAGAACAAAGTTTTTGCTGTGATGCAGGGCTTGTCTCTTGCAGTGTTCTTTTTGCCGACTGTTTATGTTCTGAAGAGTTTCGAGGCTGCCAATTCTCTCGGTCAAAACCACTGAAATCAAGCCCATTCAAAGAATTAAAATGCTTCTTACAACGGGAACATCCTTGAGAAGCCATGTGACCAAGAAATCCTCCAATTTTCCTTGTAGCTGGAATATCCGATGAAACACAAACTAGGCCAACTTTGATTGGACGTTTAAATAAACTGCCATAAATGGAGAAACGCTCTTTGCAGGCCCAAAGTGCTTTCAATTCCTGCACAAGTGGCTCCAAAAAGGTGTTTGCAGTAAGTTTTGGTTCAGAAGGACCAGGTAAAACGCCAACAACAATAATGTTCTCTAATTTATACCTTTCATGCCGAGGAAGGTTAAGCAACACCAAGTAAATTACTCCAACAGATCCAGGAGAATGTTTGTGTGGCCTAAACCAGTCTACATTGAGCATAACAGCCAAACTGTTGATGTTGCAGAGAAACCCAGATGAAGATAACTCTTTCCAGACATTGCCTTGGTAAATGTCAGTTCTGACATTGTCAGCAAGAGACTGCTTTCTCCATTCCTGGCATTTTTCCCAAAAGCCAGGCCTTTTAAGAAGTACTTGCAATGACTTTACTACAGAATTATATGGATACACCATCCGTGGGTACAAAAACGTGTTTGTTCCAGTGCGAACAGTCTTCAGAAGTAATTCATCACAGGGACCTTAAAAAAAAGAGCAAACAAACAAAAGGGTTAAGTCACAGTAGAATTGTTCAGGAAGTCCTATGTTTAGGAGCCAAAAACTCTGAGGGCAAGTAGGAATCAACAATCATATTTCATTTTAACACATGAATGGTGATGTCACAGGCAAAAATTGCTGTACAAATCATAATTATTATCAAAGGTTTTATTAAGATTAGTGTGCTTATTTAGAATAATCCTTTAATTTAACTAGTAGAGATACATAGATAGTTTATTTATATAACTTTGCAATCCAAGAGTTGAGTTACATCATACTTACAAGTTAAAAAAAATGTAAAATAAAAACACAAATTAAATCCTTACGTAATTGAAAAGATGAAAACTAGATCTACAAATGCGATAAATTCTTAAAATACAGTTGAACCTCCATGTGCGTTTTTTGCGCGACCACCTCTCATAAACAACTCCCTATCCGAAACACCAAAATTTTTCCAGTCAAAGCATTAGAGTTGGAACATCTAGAAAATGAACACCTCCTGTAAGCGACAGCGACCACCTTTTGGGTCTGAATGTTTAATGATTTTCTATTGTCTTTACACTCTTATGAATGCTTTGTGAGCTTTTTGCAAGAAAGTGGACATGCTTTTTCACCGATGAGTCTAAACATTGCACTCTTATCTACATTGGTGACCAAATTAATTTTACATTACATAATTTGGGAAGCAAATTCAATCAATTTGATAAGTGACCAATAAATTATTCAGAAATTGCAGTTGAACACTTCACAGAGATTTGACTGTATAGGTTTTCTAGTTTCCGGTAGCAATGTTTGTTACTTTTCATTCATTTCAAATTCTTCTCCATTTCTGATTGGCTCATGCATTTGGAGAATATCCGCTTGACTTAACATACCTTTATATTGTGAATTTGCCGACAAACTGGCAAATGAAGATGGGAACTTGACATCGATTAAGGTAAGCATGTTTTAGTTGTTTTTCAAACTATAAATAATTATTCTGAATGAATAAGAAAACAATCATTGGATTTGGCTTTCGTATGATGTGAAGAAGTATAGAGATCTCGCAGGGTGTTATCTGCCTTGGCCTTTGGCCATGGTAGATAATGCCCTCCTTGATCTGCCTAACAAAAGCCAAATCCAATAATTACTAATTATCATAATCCACAGCAGTTGATTAAAACCCAGAGAATGAATTTAGGAAAATACGGATAGGGTAACAAATTGTCCTAATTTATTTTGCTGACATCAATGTAGACGGTGACTTAGACTTACCTCGTTTGTTCCTGTGTGGGTGCTGTGACCATGGGATAAACCGACATCGTGCTGAGACTTTTCTTCCACAGCGTCTCTCAACGCAATCTTGGTAATTATACAAAGTCTTGCATTTGGGACAAACCACATATTTTACAAAGTCATCACTGTCCATTAATCCCAACTGTTTCCTGAGCCTGTATAAGGTATTAGGAAAACCCCTGGAAATTTTAGCTACAATACCATTCTAGTCAAAGGTACCAACAATCCAAAAGAAACGACTGAGAAACTTAACCAGCATATCCACTGCTGAGTCAGTCACAGAAAATCCACACTGCCATGAAAATATAAATAACAGCAGCCAATAAACAAGCACACGGCAATTCTCAGATAATTGCCCTGAACTAGCACTGTTTTGCGTTTCTTGACTCTGGTCAGGCTCAACAAAATCTTCTCTTGGATCACTCGGATCACTGGGCATGCCTTCACTGTCCCACTCCTCATTAACAGAATCAACAGTGTCATTGCTACTGTCAGCGGCATCGGGATCGTCATCGTCAAAGTGATCCATGTCCTCCTCATTAAGCCGTTTTCTCAACCGATCTCTTAACCTCTTTCGGACATCTGGAGACAAAAAAGGATCATGATCGGTTTGCACAAAGTTTGCAACATTTTCGTGGCCATCACTGCCACTACAAACTTCCGACTGATCTGAATCCGAGGTTTCATTGCTAAGATCGTCGAAGTCATTGAAATCGATCTCAGCATCTGACGAGGTGTCCGGTTCTCTGTTAGGCTCTCCGTTACATGAGTGTGATCTAGATCCTGAATACGAATAGCTGTTACCACAGCGAGAACACTGAATACGACGCCTGCTTCTTTTCTTCAGTTTTCGAGGAGAGCTTCTTTTCGGCATGTTTTAAGCCTTAATTATAAAAGATAACAGCAGTAATAGCGATCACTAAAATTTTCCTTGCCGGGTGTTGCGGCGGATTGCCGCGCGCTTTTCCCATATTCCCAGAGGGTTCTAACACACGCTGGTTTGCTCGCTGGCTTGCTTCTGGATAGCCAATCAGAAACTTCGCTCATCTTGTATAGACCAATCACGGGCCCAATCACGATGCTTTTATCCAATGTGCTATGTTTACTTTCCATTGTTTACGGTATTTTCATTTTATGTCAACTTTTGTCACGATCGTTATCTCTCACCGAGTTTTGAGTTAGCCACGATTTAAGTCTTATCTTTTCCGCAATGTCAACCAGCCAAAGCAACCGACAAGCTTCTGAATTCCGGACAATATTGTCCCGCATCAACGAGATAAAAACTTCTCTTCAAGGAAGCGATCGAGAGGAAGTGTCGAAGAAGTTGGACGAAATGAACGACTCTTTGCGTATCATTGAAGGCAATCAGGCCGATTTCTCAGATGCCATGTTTAAAGCGGTGGAAAGGATGCAGAAGAGCGTGGAAGACGGTTTTAAAGCTCTAGAATCCAGAATCGTTGCCCTAGAGGCGAGATTAACCAGTCCACTGACTAGCTAATACCGAAGTGTGACGAATCGTTGATTTGTTAAGCTATTCTGAAAGAACCCAAAAAGGCAAGCAAATTGTCTCTGAGATATTTGCTCCGATGACCAGTCCACCTGGTTCCTAATCTGAACCAAGCTAAATTTAGAAGGATTTGTATGGAATCGTCCGCGCTTACGTCACCTACAAGGCTCGCTATTAAGGAAAAGAAAAATCACCCGGCACCCTGATTTGTCGGTAAGTGAAGAACCTCAATCGAAGTGTACTCTTTGTTTATGGTATAGTATGAATTTCAAACATAACTGTTAAGTCCTTTTATCAAAACGGACGCTAGATCGGTTGGATGCTGCACTTTTCCTTTCAAAATTCCCGCGGTCGAAGTCATTTTTCACACGACCTTTCACACCTCTAGGTTGGGTCGGTTATGGAATGGGCATTATTTATATTTTAGTGAAAACAATTTGGAATGTTTTACGGCAAGATTTCCTTGTTTTGACGCAATTGATATCAATTTGATAGCATGATTTGTTTTGAATAGAAGGGCTCAGATTTTTTCTCTAAAAAGGCCGACAAAATTTGAACTTATTACTTACACTCAAAGGTGCCGACAAAAAATTAAACCCGTCGGATTTACCTTTTCAAAGGGCACCGACATAAATTCCTTTCCATCCTACATGTAGGATAAAAATTCCATTTAATATCTGCACTCCCCCTCCCCTCAATCCCCCCAATATATGATACTATCGGGGGGTGGGGACTTTGGTAGTTATTTCTCAGGAGGTTGTTGCATCAGCACCTTTAACCTTCTGGGCCGAGTTGTTCAATGCTGGGTTAAGATAACCCCTGGGTCAGTGTGACATTTGAATTCAGATTTGCAAGCTTAAAAAGTATTTCAGATTTAATTATTTTTATATACAAGTTGATGATTGGAAGCTCTAAAAAGAACAGAGAAAATTATCTGAGAAAATGCTTTGGAACACAAGAAAAAGAAACCCAGGTTAACTTTAACCGCATGTTAAGCGCTAATCGGCCTTCGAACATGTGGGCCTGGGAATATTTCTGAGGGATATGGCAAAAAATATTCTTCACTACACTACACACTATTCAGGTACGGATCTAGGATAAACAATGACAGATTTCCTGAACAAGCACCGAAAGAGCAAGCTGTTAAGGGCATGCTCCCCAGGGAAATTTTTTTGGATTTTGGGGTTTCTGAGTTATTCGCACAATAATTATATTTACTGACTGCATGTGCAAACTATTTTCAACCTGGAAAGCTTTCCATTTTTTTTGTTTTTTAATTTATTATGAAAAATCTGACCAATGTGGATCCATGGCAAATTTCGTGCAGTGCTTATCAGCCCATGGTTACTCATTTGGTCCTCATTTTACTAGGCTCATACAGACAAAAGTTCTGACGTTAGTTAAGTTAAGCTTACCAGTTTGTATGTGTGTGTGTTTTTTTTTTACTTTTGCAAATTGATTCACAGCATTACGTCAGATCAAAGATGGACCAGTTGGGACTCTCGTGGGATGTGGACAAGAAGTAAGTCCATACCTAGCCTTGATACTGTTTGACCTAGATCTACAGGACCTATAATTTCTGATATATTATTATGTTTTCTTATAGAGGAGTAAAATGCCCATTCAACTTTACTATTTCCTATAAAACTAGGAAATTTATTTTGAAAACAGGAAAACGTTGAATCAAACAGGTTCATATGCTCACGAAAATTGGTTGTGGAACATGTATATAAGGTGATCTTTGATTAGATTTCCTGTCCAGTTTTAAAGTCTTACCAATGTAACGTCCCAAATTGTGCCATGTGCTTGTTCACTAAATTAGATGAGACAGCCTTATTGCCAGCTTTTAGAAGAAGAGGTTAGAGTGCTAAATTACAGTTCTAAGTGACTGTGCTGTTCAACATCCACAAACATTAATTATTTTTGTTTTATTAACTGAGTCAACAAGGTAAATATACCACAGCACAATAACAGTTTGTGGCAAAAGTATTGTCCAATAGTGTTGGGCTAGTACAGCAACCTGCCTGGATGGCTTGTTTGAATTTGTTAGGAGTTGTCCTTAAACAGGCAAACAACATTTGCTAAGATACCGTAAAATTCTGAACATAAGCCCCTCCAAATATAAGCCCCCCAAACCGGTAACACAAAAAACCCTCCGTCAAATCACCCCTCCAAATATAAGCCCCCTGAGGGCTTGTACTTGGAAAATTGCCCTCAAATACAAAGTAAAACAAAGCAAAAACGGTAAATTTACGTCCAACTATAAGGCTAGCCCAATTGATTTTGAAATGCAAATTTCCTTCCTTAGATAAGCCCCTCTGAATATAAGCCCCTCAAAAAGGGCCTTTGAAAAATATAAGCCCAGGGGCTTATTTTTGGTTATTTTACGGTAAAGTAAATGTTAGTGTAAAATGGGGTTAATAATTAATGACCATGGCTTTTGAATCTTTTTCAGGGTGAGATTGTAATATTTTTTATATAAAAAGTATGGTTACTAGCCCAGAACAGTGGTGCAGGTTAGTATCTTGACCTGCACCACTGTTCTGGGCTATTAACCATACTTTTTATATAAAAATTATTACAATCTCACCCTGAAAAAGATTCAAAAGCCATGGTCATTTGGAGCACTAGCCCTTGGTCTCTAATGAAAGCAGGCATGTACAAAATTAATGCAGACCATGTAGACTGCAGACCATGCAGACTGAGGATTTTTTAAAATTTATATATCATTTTCATCTATTTATTTCTTCTTATCATTACTTTTTCACCTAATTTTTCTCTCTTGACATTAAATAGTCAGTCTTATTACCTTTAAGCCGGTTTGCCACATTTTAACATGACCGGATGAAGTGACTTGATTAACTCAGTTGAAAACACCAGCAAAATGGATAATTTTAGAGCTTTTTACAATATTTGCTTTATTTGAATTTTGTAGAGAAAATGAGGCTCCCAACCATACCATATCAACTACACTACTGAAAGAGGTGCAAGAAATTGAACAAATTAAAAATGATTCAACATGTACCGAGAGACGAGTTCTTGGTAAGTTAATATGGTTGTAAAGTGAAATGCTTCGTACATGTATAATATACATTTACCATTAATGATAATACCGTTCACATACCTCATTTGAACAATCCCCTGCCCCTTTTTTTCTTATTTCTCTTAGTTAAACCCTAAATTCCCTTAAATTTATTTTAGGGATAAACTATGGGGATTGTTTGTCAAGATTTTTTTCTTTATTGAGCAGAAATGGCCCTACGAGCTGCAAATAACAGTCCTTAACAGTCATGGACAATGTGCAAGCATATAAGATACTTAGTGATAAACCAGGAATATCTTAATAATGCAGATGAAACTTTAAGACAGTGTACTAAGTCAAGGCATAAAAAATGCAGTGAAACCTGTAAAAAGTGCAGGATCCCAAATTTAAAAACAGACACCCATCTCTATTAGATGGACACAAGCATCATTGAGCTCCACCTATTCTCCCCTTATACAGGTTTTACTGTATCATACATGCAGGGAACAAAGAAATATGATTTTGTTGAAATATCCTCACTAGCTAGTCTAGTGATGTGTACAGGGGAGAAAATAAGATAGCAAAGGAACACTTAATGATATTTTTGCCGGTTTAAATGGGTGACATGGTAGGTAATAATTCTATCAGGAAAAGCAATTATCTTAGACTTGAGAAAACTCCTGTACAAAAGGTTCGAAAAATTGAACTTATGGTAATGCTCATAATAAATTATTATGCAGATTAATTGTCCTTTTTTTGTTAGATGCCATTTCACAAAACTTGGCCTCGAGCAAGAAGCGAAAAAGACAGGAGGAGAAGGGGACATATGAGCAGTACCAACAGGAGCAGAAAAGAAGGCAAAGAATTAAGAGGGTGAGGTTCTCTGTCATGTTATTAAAAACTTTTGAATCAAAATTTTGAGTATTCAGATGGTAATTGTTTTAATTGACCAAGAAGGTATACTGTACATCCTTCGCTGTTAGGACTGGAATAGAGGGGAGTAAAGTTTGTAATATTATACGGCTTCTATTTGTAAGTGTGTGATGTGTGTTTCTTTCTATGTAATTCATTTTCCAAAAGATTAACTGATTGTTACCCTACTACAGGGTTGTCACTAACATTTCAAGTTGCTGGGTAAATACAACAAGTAGGTGGGGAATCAAACGGCTAAGGATTTCTTTTGGTTCTATTTTTCTTCTATTTTCCAAAAAAATAAAAGTAGCCGGGGGCCACTCTCTTAATTAGTAGCCGGGGAAAATCCCCGGCCCCCGGCTCTTAATGACAACCCTGCTAGTAGTCATAAGCTGTTTCAGAGTCCTAACCGAACGCAACTACATAAGTTTAAGAGCAACAACTAACATCATTATCTCTCGCTCAGTGTTAATTTTTTACAACAGTGTTGGGGTTCAGATAATCAGTATAAAAAGTAGCTTTTGAGTTACCATGTGATGTTTTATGCAAAAAATTAGCTGAATTACTGAGTTTTTTTTTTCTCTCTCTCTCTCTCTTGTATGTAGAAGCTTGATAAAAGATTGAAAGCCGTCACTGAGGAGGAAAGGGATGGTGACCTGTTTTCAGCCCTTCATGTAAGCCTTGTGTCTTCAGAGGAGTCTGACACGGAAGATAATTCCTTGAGAACCAGGCCTCTGTCTTGGAGAACAGAGAATGTCAACAACTTTTTTAAACTTTTGGATGGAAGAGCAAAGGCAGCAATGACCTCCCAACAAAGGAGACAATCAGTTAGTCGAAGACAAGGTGTTGCCAGTGGAAGAGGGACAGACACTGTCCCAGAACATTTGAAATGGGCTGTGTGCGATTCCCCATAAGTCAGTAAATAAGTAAATAGGGAGCGTTTCTCAAAAAGTTGGAGCGGCCTTTAAAGGTTAAGTTGAAGTGACTATATAAAGCAGACTGAAGAGTAAAATGTAACAGCTCAGTCTTATTGATGTAGGCATAACTTATTTCAAAAAGAAATATGATTTTTTAATTATTGTTATATTACTCAATCTGCAATCTTTGATTTCCTTAAGCAAATTTGTTTCCAAAAAATGAATTGTGAAAAGCTTCTATTCTTTAAATATAAATATTTTTTTGCACCTTAGGAATTAACCGCATAATGTTTGTTACCCAGTATTCAGTTTGATGTCAAAATTGATGTGCATCAGAACCATGAGTTCAAAACACAAACATCTTGTTTCTGTATAGTTACAGTTGTAAACACATAGCTTTAAAAGGTTCTTTAATACACTTTATCGTCACTTCATTATAAGGTATTAATGCAAGAACTAGATTTTGTTGGACTTTAGACTGTTTTTTTTTGTTTTCGCACTTCGCATAGAGTTCAGCCTGAGAGTTCTCAATGTAGAATGTTAGCCATGTTTTTCTTTAGTGTAAGCTAGGTTATAATTTTGAAGACCACATCTTCTGACAATTTCATTTATAGAATTAGACTGCGAGCACTGTAACACTAAGGGTATGATATGTATGCAATGCCATGTAAATAAATGTTCAGAATTTACAGTTCATATATTGGTTCTTTTCATCTGAGCACTCTTTATAAGTAAGTGGGAAGGAAACATTTTACTCCCTTGAGTTTTACACGCATTTACAAACAGTAATAACCAGAGGACCTCAATTGCGGGGTGGGAATTACGGAAAAGCGATGACATACAAGAGATTTTCCCTGTCTGAATTAAATTAATACTGAATGTTACAACACCATTGAAAACACGGCAGGAAAAAGCAAATTGTTAAAACAAAAGCAATTTCCAAAGGAGATATAACGGGAAACGCGGGAAAATTTTGCGTTTTCCTAACTTCACACGAATTTTCTGTACTTGAGAACGCCAGAAAACTAGTAGAAAACGACCGCTAACGCTGGAATACAATCCGTTTTCCATGCCTGAACTTATCAGTGAATGCTGGAAAACGCGAGTTTTCTTGAATTTACTTGAATTCACTGTCACGGAAAATGAAAGAAAACGCAAGAAAACTGCTTGCAAAAGTCGGAATAACGCGCAGTTTTCCTAACGGTAAGCGATCGGTAAACGCTGGAATACATGCAATTTTCCTGGATTCAGCGGTATTCACCGTTTCGGAAAACGCCGGAAAACGTCCGCAAAACGCAGGATTTCACTCGTTAACTGCGGTGAACTCGAGGTTTTCCCGTCTGAAAACTCAGGGTAAATGCCGGAATACAAGATGTTCACCGAGTGTTAACCGATCGGTGAACGTCAGCAAACGCATGTTTACCGGCGTTCACTGAATCGGAAAACTGATGGATAATGGAACGAATACTCGAATTAACCGGAGTGAAAACGTTTGGAAAACGAAGGATTTTCCGCTTGGTGAATCTCAGAGAATGCGGGTAAATTGCGCATTCTTCGTTAATTCCCCGCGCGTTTTCTCCGTGGGAAAATGCCACTTTTTTTGCCGTGCCTGTTCCCAGGTCAGTTCCGATACAGTCTGTAACAAATCGACTAAATCAATTTGTGAGTCAAACTTCGACGCCTTTACATTTTGGTCTTTTGATACATGCCTCTCGTTGATATGATCTGCTTGCTCTTGTGTCAGGAACGTTCCCTCCGTTTCAAATGGCAAAGCCATGGTTGAAAATAAAATTTTTTCTGGTTCATCTTAAAACAGATTGCAACACAAAAGACTCAAACTTGAAAAAGAGCGAAAAGGGTTATTGTTTTTGCCGCCCGCCGTTCAACTAAAAAGAGCAGCGAACTTTTTGCCGCGAAGGTTCAAAAACTTAAAAGAACGGCGAAAAATTAAATGGCTTTTTACCGCTCCACTTTAATTGTCCCCGCACCAATCAGCGTGAATCTCACTTGAATAGCATAAAGGTAGAGTGAATTTGGAAAAGTCATTTTGCTCTGCTCATCCCAGTGTCAAGATATCCAGTTGCTCAAAGATGAAGACTTTGTATGAACTTGCCTTGGAAGCTGTCCCTAACAAGGGTTTAATGGCTGAGACGTTTCTGGTCCCTTGTCATCCGATTGCCAAAGAACTTCAAGCCCGGCAGTACATTGAAGACAGAAATAAGTATAGACAACAACACCGCGTAAATTTCAGGTTTGTCTACGCTGATTTGTGTTTTATCCAAGCCTTGTTTTTAAACTCAGACATTTACCCGAGTGATGTTACGTTTTTAAATCGATTGTGGAAACAAATCGACGATTTACTTTAGTCCCTGTTTTGTTTTAGACCTATTCTGGAATCCCTGTTTTGGATAAAAGATTACATATGGCTTTTTTTGAAGACGAAATGTTATATGATTGAACTGTAAAAACGTGTTTTTAAACGTGCTTGTTGATGTTTTATTTTAGAAATTGTTTGAATCAGTTGAAACAGCGAAGATGGGCCATGTATTGTCATAAAACAGAATGGATTCCCGTCAATGCGGAGAAACTTTTGTGTTCTCAATGTAAAAGAATTAGGTCAACACAGTTAACTTTAGATGGTTTACGTTTGCAAAGGCAAAAGAAATTTGTAGATAAAAATGAAGAGGCACGTTTAATTCGGCGTTTTTACTATACGCCAATTCGTAGACGTTTAGGGTTAGAATTTGAGTAAGTTGTTGTTTTTATTTTCTGTTTAGCAAATGTTTGCGACAAATCAAGAAGCGTCATTTCTGTAGATCGACCCAATGGCTTTCGTTTCATGAAGGATTTTGTTCTCAGTGTTTTAGAATTGGAGTTGATTGTTTGACGGTAACCGGTCAAATGAAATATGACCGATACGAACGAGTTAATTTTGAACATGAACGGCGAAATATCTTTAAGCTATACAGGGCTACAGGAATTTTAAGAAGACGTCAGGCACTTGAACACAGAGTAATCCAATCTTTGGGTCATTTTTAGAAAAGTGATGCAAGATATCCGTTTTTCGCCGCTAAATCCTTTTACAGAGTGGATCGAAATCAATAGGCAGACCACTGATTTTCGTATTACAAATTTAAATGTAACGATCGATGATGTAAAGCTTGTGGACAATCCTTTTTTTCCTGCTATTGAAACAATGATTGAACGTTTTGAGCTAACCTACGCACACTTAAAGTTAGAATTTCCCTGGTTCTTTCGAGATTACCATGTCAATTTTTTATAATGGACCAGATTCATTAGGGATCTGATATGTTCCAGTTTGTAAATAAGAAAAAAGTGCTTTGAAAAGGACTTTAACCGACTAGCGGTTAAAACACGTTCCTCTCATTGCATTGACTAAGAAAGTGATTGTACCGTTTTACCGAAGGAAGGTAAAAATGTAAATAAAGTTAAGTTTGCGTGTAATTTACTTGTGTCTTTGGGAAAAAAGAAATCAACTGAGATTGTCAACGCTCAGGCAGGGAGGGATTTCTTAGAACTGAATGAACTGAGATTGTCAAATTAACGCTCAGGGAAAAAAAGAACAAAGATTATAGCTGAATCAGTTAAAAAATTAATTAGAAAAAGAACAAAGATTCATTATAGAGTGGTAAAAACTTAATTAGAAAAAGAACAAAAGTAGCTGACTCAGTCAAAATAAGTCATTAGGCAATCTTGGGCAGCCTTGAACGTTCTTTGTCCATTATGACTTAATGAAATTCGAAGCACGCGCTCCACAGCTAATTTAACTAAACTGCGTCTCTGAAAGCGTCATTCAGTTTTTACTGTCTTACTGAGCGGAGCTTTTTGCGAAACTTTTTGAAAACGATGGATCCATACATTCGCGCGCTTATGGAGGATGGACTCGATTCCTTGTTGGAAGAAATTCCAGACTGGACCGCTAGTCAAGGGGAAGAGTTAATTGACTCGGAGAACGAAAGCGATCTGCTTATCGCGGCGCGCCGAGCAGACCAGCAAGGAGGGAATCCCTTGTTTGCTGTTAACATGGAGCGAGTGAGAGCACCGCGCTCTTTTCACCGCGGTGTAGCCATTCAAATGCAAGTCCGATTTTCGCTGGAACAGTTACGTCCGCCGAATGGGGAATACCAGGGTGAAGCGGTAGCGGAAGCCTTCCACCAAGGTTTGATTTTGGTTTGCACCAAAGCCTTTGTCGACCAAGACCCTCAGTATCAAAATATTTCTAGAGGACGTGGAATGCAGGGTCATCTTACCTACAAACTGCATCAAGAAACCGGGGTTCCTGAAGGACTGTGCGGTTTACCCGAAATTCATAGAATGCAAGATCATCTTGGTCCTGAAGGATACCAGGTTAAAATCTCTGAAGGAGTCTGTGGGGCACTCTGGTATTGTGACCCGTCGTTTTATTCAGCATCTAAAAAATTGTGCCTGCTCAAAGTAGAACAACATTTTTACGGATTACAAAGTGTGCCAGCCCTCCTAAACAAGAGTTATTACTGTCATCAATGTAACAAAGGTTACGATCATGAAGATGCAGAACATCATAATTGTTCTCCTCAAAACTGTGACAAATGTCGAAGAAAAAACGGCGAATGCCCTGATTTTCAAGAAAAAAAGTCTGCTAACGTCTACTGCAATGATTGCGGTCAGTCTTTTCACGGGCAAAACTGTTTTACCGCTCACAAGAAAAAACTATGTCGTTTATTCAAAAAGTGTCCGGAGTGTTGTAAAGTCTATAAGTTTTCCAAGAAAAAGAAGCATGTGTGCGGAGAATACCGATGTCCTGACTGCCGAGAGAAAGCTTTGCCGAACCACCAGTGTTACATTCAACCGCTTGGAATGGAGTTCAGCAATCTTCTTGACCAGGTGGACGATTTAAACGAGGAAGACCGTGCGATTCTGGAAGACATGGTTGAAGCGGAAGCCGCGGAAAAAAGTCAAAAAGAAGAGGACGAAGAACCGCCCCCGCTGGTGTGTTGTATTGATTTTGAATGTGGGTTGGATGAAAATAAGGATTTTGAGGATGTGCGTGTGGGCTGGCAATATGTGAATGTGGAAGGTAGCTACCGCGAAGCAAGCAAGGCATCGGATATGTTGGAGGGTGTGATGGCGAAAACGGTTACCGCGGACATGAAAGAACGGAAAGTGTTTGTGTTTGCTCACAACATGCGAGGGTTTGATTCGTCTTTTATTTTGCAGCTGTTGTATGATAAGGGTTACAAAGCCGAAAAGGTCTTGAGTATGGGGGCGAAGTTTTTGTCGTTTCAGTGTGTTAATGTGATTTTTCGGGATTCGCTTAATTTTTTTAACATGCCTTTGGAACGCTTGCCGGCTACGTTTAATTTGAAGGAAGCGCATAAGGGTTTCTTCCCTTATTCTTACATTTCTGAAGACAAGCTTTATTACGTTGGACCCTACCCAAAAGCAGAAGAATACCATCCCGAGCGAATGAACGAAAAACGGAGAAAGGAATTTTTAACTTGGCACAAAGAAAAAGTTAGCAGCGGCGCCATCTTTGATTGCCAAAAAGAACTATCTGCGTACCTGCAAAGCGATGTCCAAGTGCTAACGGAATCCATGGAAACATTTGCCAGTGAAATGTTAGAGCTGACTGGCTTAGACCCTACGGTGGAATGTGTCACCATTGCAAGTACGGCGTTTAAAGTTTTCCAGACCAGGTTTTTGGAGCCGTACACGATTGCCTTGGAACCCCTCGGCGGATGGCGCCACAACCAGCAGAACCAGAGTGTGGAAGCCCTGCAGTGGTTAGAATTTCAAAATGCCAAGATTGGCGGCGGCATTCAGGTAAGTAGTCTTTTACACACTTAAGAATTTAAGTTGCAGTCAAAGTCTACACTTAAGAAAAATTAATTGCAGTGTTTTACCGCAAATATCATTTCGTGAAATGTTTACTACGGTGCAATGACTACAAATCAAAAATTACAGTGTTTTGTATGGGAATTATGTTGAAAAAGTCTGCATTTTAAAAATTTAACATGCAGTGTTTTACTGTATTTTTCAGTATGCGAAATGTTTACTACTGTGCAAACGAAGATGCACGATCAAAAAATTATAATCTGCGGACCGCGCAGAAAACAATAACATTATGTTTCTCTTTTGCAGCATGTACGAAATTCCTTGAATGGTGAAGCCAAAGTCCTCACCCCTGCTCAAACTTACAATGTGGATGGCTATCACGCCGCGAGCAATACCGTCTACGAGTATAATGGATGCATTTTTCACGGCTGTCGTAAATGTTACCCAAAGCAAGGAAACCTGAAACGCTTCTGCCATCCAGATCGAACCGTTGACGAAGTGTATGAGGCAACCCTAAAGAAAGCAGCCATCCTCCGTGACGCAGGCTGCAATATGGTTGAAATGTGGGGATGTGACTTTGCCAAGCAGAAAGAAACCGACCCAGAGCTGGCCGAATTCCTGGAAAACTTTGAATTTGTTCCGCCGCTTGAACCACGAGATGCGTTTTTTGGGGGGCGAACTGGCGCAGCGACCCTGTACGCAAAAACGGCAGAAGACAAAGAGATTTCCTATGTTGATTTTACAAGCTTGTACCCAAGTATTAACAAGTACGGTGTCTACCCTGTGGAATTCCCGCAGATTTTCTATCAGCCAGAAAACCAGAACATTGATGACTACTTTGGTCTCGCGCAAGTGGATATCCTGGCTCCCGCGCGCTTGTTTCACCACGTTCTGCCGGTAAGAGCCCGCGGAAAACTTACTTTTCCTCTCTGCAGGTCCTGTGTTGCGGAAGAATTAGCCAACCCCTTGCTGGAACGAAGTAATATGTGTGGTCACACCCGTGAGCAACGTATGCTGAAAGGGACCTGGTGTACGCCTGAACTACAGAAAGCCGTGGAAAAGGGGTACCAAATACAGAAAATCCATGAAGTGTGGCACTTTCCCGAGGAAAATCGCCGCGAAGGTCTTTTCGCTGGCTACGTGAATACCTGGTTGAAGCTTAAACAGGAGAGCGCCGGATGGCCCGCGGGTGTGGAAACCCCAGAGCAGAAAGCAGAGTACGTAAAGAAGTATGAAGAACACGAGGGGATTCTGCTGGATCCTGAAAAGATTGCTGTGAATCCGGGCAGAAAAAGCGTTGCGAAATTACTTTTGAACAGGTAACTAGTTATATTTAATTGTTTAAGTTGCAGTCAAAGTCTACACTTAAGAAAAATTAGTAGAAGTGTTTTACCGCAAATATCATTTCGTGAAATGTTTACTACGGTACAATGGTCTATGCACGCTACAATTCAAAAATTACAGTGTTTTGTATGGGAATTATGTTGAAAAAGTCTGCATTTTAAAAATTTAACATGCAGTGTTTTACTGTATTTTTCAGTATGCGAAATGTTTACTACTGTGCAAACGAAGATGCACGATCGAAAAATTATAATTTGCGGACCGCGCAGAAAACAATAACATTACTTTTTTCTTTTTCAGCTTATGGGGGAAATTTGGTGAGCGACAGAACAAGCCTGTGACGCACTGCATCACCCAACCCTCACAGTTGTTTCAGCTGCTAGAAGACCCGGTGAATGAGATTCACAGTGTACGTATCTGCTCCGAAGATGTGATGGAGTTGGTGGTCATTAAAAACGAAGACGAATAACAGCGTTCGTTCAAGCGAAACGTCTTCATCGCGACCTTCACGACTTCGCTGGCTCGCCTCAAGCTTTACGATGCCCTTGATTTTTTAGGTGACCGAGTCTTGTATTACGATACAGACTCGGTCATTTATAAAACCAAGCGGGGTCAAGACAAGCTTCCGCTGGGAGATTTTTTGGGACAATTCACGGACGAGATTGACGGCGACGTGATCGTGGAATTTTGCAGTGGAGGGGCGAAAAACTATGGCTACTTGACGAAGAAAGGTAAAGTCGAATGTCAAGTACGTGGGTTTTTGCTCTATTATGAGACGAAACAAATTTTGAATTACTACACGATGAAAGAAAACATCCTCAAGCAATTGGACGAACCCTTGCAAAAAGCGCGCCGAATGGCGATCACCATTCCCGATTTTTTCCAAAGAGATCAAGTGACCAAGAAAATCAAGCTCACGGAACGTAAAAAACATTATCAACTGGTGTTTGATAAACGCGTGATTGACCCCGCCACTCGCTCTTCTTCGCCGTATGGATACAATTGGTTTAGAGCGGAGGTGGAACTGTTAATGGATTTGTAAAAATATTGCGGGTACGGTAGCTTGGAAGCGCGAACCCGCTTTTAGCTTTTGTATGTAGTTTTTATAGGGGTACAGTAGCTTGGAAGCGCGAACCCCTTGCATGCTTTGTTTTTGAAATTAAATTAGGGTTTGTAACATTTCATCAAAGGGAGGTGAGACGATGTAATAAACTAAGTTCGCGACACAATGGATTGGTGTGGTTTCTGTTTTTGTATAAATAGAGGGCGGTATGGTTAGTCAAATTACTTGTCATAAGATGTCGAACATTTATTTGACCCTCGTAAGCGATGTCACCAAAAAATACACAAGTAATGTGGCCAATCAGTTTAAAGTCAAACCTCAGTTAAGATTACCCGGGGAAGGATGGAAAGTGTCAGTGGCTGGAGCTATTTTACCAAAAATGCCTTTGTTCAAAGAATTACAAAGTGCAAACGTAAATTTAATCGAATTATGGGGTGAAACTGAAAAAGCAGGATGGGACACTAGTTCAATTTCAATCGGATAATCAGTGCGTGATTCGACTGCATTTTAAGAAAGAATAAGACACAATTCAATTGTAACAAAAAATTTTTATTAAGTGAATAAAAAAACAAACAGAATTACAGCTTAAGTTTGCGTTTTGTCTGCATAATGGCTTTGACGATCCGTTCTTGTTTGGTTTTCTTCCCTGGGAGGTTTTTAATAGCGCGTATCATTTTATCGTCCGCTTTCCACTTGTCCTTTAAACTTTTCGCTTTGGAATAATCGATGTCATGGATTTTCGCTAATTCGTCTAATCTATTGACGCCTCGGTCACCCCTCTTCAGTCTTTGTTGAAGCCGGGTCCCTGGACCAAGGTAATTTGCTTTAGGCCAATGAAACTCTTTGCCTGTTTTTTCAATTAATTTTTGAATATCCAACGCAGCCCCACGCTGACCACGCTTTTTTCCTTTTTGCGGTCTTTTTCTGCGAACCTTTCTTTTACCACTCTTTGCCATGTAATCGTCTTTTTGTCGGTGTCCCAAACGGTTTCCAACCTGCAGCAGGGGCGAGTTTCTTTAAAGCTCTTTCTTTAGCCCTTTCAGCAGCTCTTTTTGATGCCTCGGCAAATTTTTTTTCAATACTCTCCCGAGCTCTTTGAAAAGGGGATTTAGCAGCAACGCCCTCTTCTTCCGCTGTACTAGAAACACTGGAAGGAGGGGAAGGAGTCTTTTTCTGTTTAGGAGTCTTGTATCCAGAGGAAGGCGTCTTTTTCGGGGTTTTGGGTAACAGCCGCTTTGCCTTGGATCCGGTCTTAAACGTTAACTTGGGTTTTTTACTCGTAGAAGGACTTTGTTTGACCACAGGCGTTTGTAACGCTGACTGAGGGGTGACCGGTTCTGCTTTCCTTTTTATAGCCTTACTGATTTTTGAAATGTTTCCCATAAAATGTTGTAACGGGCCTACGGCTAAATTTTCATCATCACTGTCGTCTTCATCGCGACTTATTCCTTGTGTTCCTCCTGGTTGACGAATTTTCTTGACCCATTGTTGTAATTCTCGGTTGACTGATTTTAAACGAGGTTCTTTCCATGTATCCGGGTCAGGACTCTCCAACAACAGTTCTTTTTGAGCGGCTAAACCTGCTGCTTTGGTTAAACGGCTATCGTCTAAAATATTCGATTTATATTTATCTCGCAAACGTAAAAATTGCACTGAGTTTTCAATCGGTGTGGAGAAAATGCCGGCCATCCTTGCGAATGAAACTAAGAGTTTAGTCTTGTCTTTATATGGGTTTGGGTCTGCATCTCTCTTTGACTTTTTGTCGAAACTCTTTGATCATTTGGGCAAGTAGCAGCAAATAGTCTAATAGACAAAGAAGTCGTTGTAACACGTTACGTTTCATATTGTCTTTTAGCACAGTGATAACAGCGATGTAATTCTTTCCACGCACCAGCGCCAATCTGTGAACTCATCAAATGTCTTCGCTTTTTTATACTCTGACGAGGGTTGGCAATGATTCGAAGAGATTGACGATAGGGTTTTAAACGGCTCACTGTTTTTCTCCCAGGTTTAACACTTCCACGCAATGTGTTCATCACTAACTCACTCACCGCATTAATTTGATCAGCATTTGCATACCGTAATTTTTGTTGCCGTTTATTTTGGTTCGCTTCTTTTAACACATCGTTTAAAAAATGACCCTGTCTCGTCATTCGTCCCATGTTTATGTCTTTCTACGTGTAGGTGGAAGTCTCCTCCTTTTATACTTCTTTTTCTCTAACGCTTGAATTGCTTTTCTACTCCCATAATTCGTCAAGGCACTTAATCCTCCTAACGCGGCCGCTTTTCCTCCCGCCGCTAAAGCTGGAATCGCTGCGGCTAACAGGGGAGCAATCCCACCTCGTTGTCTTCCAACCCCTGGTTTACCTTTTCTTCTTTTTGGGTGACCTTTTCGTTTCATGTTTAACTTTGCGTTTGTTGAAGAGTGAACGGCTATTTATGTCTTCGTCAAAGGTATGAACTCGCGTTGCTCCCTCTTCTTTGGTTAAATGACTCCAAATACAAAAACAGTCATCGGAGGCAGGATGTAAATCCAACATAAAATACCCAACAGGACGGGAGGTCAGCTTTAAAAACAATTTGAGTACTTCACCCCATTTTTCAGGGTACACCTGAAGCAGTAAATGTCGAATACCTGTCTTATCCCTGGGTGATTTAAAACAAATCACATGGTGTGCATTGCGGTTAATCGTTTTCGCAAACTTGCCTGGGGGAAAGAGATCTTGTGTGATATAAAACGCCGTAATACCTCGATGGTGAGAATCTTTTGTAAATAAATCCAACACCCCTTTATCACTCCCTGATTCTTCCATTAAATCATCCAAAATGAGTATGCCATGATGCTCTGGTTTAAACCATTTCACGAGAGCCCCTTCAGGAGGAAGTCCTTTATAAAACATAATATGTTTTTTCATGCGATCAAATCGGGGTTGCCATCGGTCATAACAATACACTATTTTTTTCGGAGGAGGGTCAAACAATGTTTTTTCTTTGAGTAATTTTTCCACTAATTCACTTTTCCCACTACCTGAGGGCCCCGCTACAATTACGCTAGCAGGTTGTCGAATCATGTTTCCCACGGCTTACGAAAATGAGTGTAATGTCCTGTTGCTCCTACTGCACCCATACGTTTATAGCGTTTGTCCTTGCCCAATTTATACCCAATTTTGGCTGCAGTGGATAAGACTGTGCCGAGTCCTTTGCCTCTTTGATAGTGACGGACGTTATCTTTTATACCTTTCAACGCTTGTTTCCCTAAAAAGGCCCCTATTTTGATAAAATTAGGAGAAGGACCAGACAGCCCCATGGCAACTCCCTCAGCTATTTTGTCTACCAAACGGGGTTTTCGCCTAAATCGTGCACCCCCTATTTGACTTTTTCGGTTTTTTACTCGTTGTTTTCGCTTTCGGTCCATAGTTGTTGATACAATCGCGGTGAATTCAACTGAATGAGTAGAAGTATCTGATCTTTCAAATGGGTTTCACCTATTCCTTTTATATGATTTTTTAAGTCCCACCACAACTGAGCTTGCACTAAACATCGTACAAATTTGCCAATGATACCCATCCCACAGATCTGCTGGATTCAGACAGAGTTTGATCCATTCTTGTTTGTGATCTTTCCAATAAGACCATTCTTTTTCTAACAGTGCATGGAGCACTTTTTGAACATCCCCCCGTAATATCATGATAAAAATGACAGTCAAAAGTAACACACACAATTTTATTCATGAATGAAAAAAGAAGAACGGTTTACATTAGATTGCTCATACTCGGTTAGCTCTGTTTTAATAAGACGTTGCAGTTGGTCTGCGACTCGCTTATCATTTAACACTAAATTATTAGAATGCCACTGGGCTAAAAAATCTTGAAAAGAGGCATGTCTTGCTTTTGCTTTTAAAAAGAAAAGGGCATAATGCCCACACGTAAAACTATCCATGGCTTGTAAAGTCTGACCACTGCTAATGATTTCTTTCCACTGGCTCAACCAAGCTTGTAAGGTAGGATTTTTGTAGGAAGAAAGAGGTAACCCATAACTGTCAAAGACTTCACATGTAGTTCCTTCGGTTCAAAGGGCTAACCAATGTTCACCCGGCTGACTTGCGGGATCAGTGTTGACAATAAAAGCATTCACTCGTTTTTTAAACACCAAAGGTACTTGGTCTGCTGGAAACACACCACGAAAATAGGCTCGTAATTCGCGATCGTCTTTTGCCAAGTAACGGAGAACTGTATCACTGAGAGGTACGAACTTCATCCTAGCTGTTAATGGAATAAAGAATGCCTCCCCACTGGTCTATTTCATAGACATTTTCATACTCACTCCAAATGACCACGGTCACATTGTGACCAACATTGGCTCTGAAGTCAATTTCATAACTGACATTCCCTGTGAGTTTAGGATTTCTGTAGCTAGGATCATCGGCATCGCCAGGAGCATTGTTAAACATGAACAAGGTACAATTGTTGCCTTGTCCCCAGTCGCTTGGGAGCAGCATGGGTACCCTGTGGTGCTTGTAAGCGCCTGACGCTGTGAGGAAGCGATCATAACCTACTAAATCTTCGGCTTTGGAATTGCCTGTTAGTTCCAAGGCTCTGTAAGGGTATTCTTCTCCGTCAATTCGTTGTCGAACTCTGGTGACGCCAAACTTTTCATAGGCATAAGGGTAATACTTCAGACTTCCATTGTAATTAGTGGAATTCATGAGTCCGATAATGACTTTGACGGGAACCTTGTTCAAGAAGACATTGTCCTGAGACCAACGAGTGCTGTTTCCATCGAACGAATACGTTCGGATTTCACTTCGAACTACAGGGTAGCGGACTTTTTTGGTTTTACTCAAACTTCTTTCTTTTTGTAGCCTGGAATACACAGAGGCATTGAGAGTGACTTTTTTCATCCAGAGTGTGACAAACAAATCATTGTCACCCAGTGTTGGAATCTTTTTGTTGACTGTCGTAGTTGTGTCTGGGGTGCCAAACAGAAACATGTTGCTGTCATTCAAATACAATTCCAAATCAATCTGTACATTAGGTACCAAACATTTGCCTTTTCTGAACACCGCGATGTGAGGTTTGATGATAAAGGTATGATACGCTTTGCCGAGTAAGCGACTGGTGAGTGCTTTCAAGCCTGTTTTTCCCCTCCATGCTGCTGGGTTAGGTTCATCATCATTGGTCGCATTGGTAGGAGTTAATTCTTCCTTGACATTGAGCTCATTCACCCATCCTTGAGCAGCCAAAGTCGCCTCTCCTTCTTGACGATTAAAATTCTGTAGGGTTTCTAGGTAAGCTTTCTGGTGATAGGCATTGCTTTTTTCTGTCATCAACACTCCATTGAAAGACACATTCATTTGATTAAAGAGAGAATGACCAAAATTGTTGACGCAATAGACAAATTTGGTATTATTAGCATCCGAAGGCGCGCCCTCTGCACTAGAAATACCTTGTGTCCCTGCAGTGTTCAGTCGCACTTTGATTTCTAGCTTGGTTTCATTTAAATCATTATAATCATCCCCTGCTGGTACAGTAAAAAGAATAGGTCGTGTTCCAGTATTGGCTGGTTTGAAAGGAATCCACCGTTTGGCTTCATAGCTATAGTCAATGTCGGGAATGTCAAACAGATTCAGCGACATGTTGACGGACTGATAACTTAACGCCGTTTGCGTCGTCTATTTATACGTTTCCGTCCTTTGTTTTTCCAAGGGTAGATAACTGGATGCATTTTCCCTCCTTTTTGTTTTCTTATTCTTCTGAGAATCCATGGATCTATTTCATACCGTTTATAATTAGTGAATCCCCATGGGTTGGGAGGATCTCGAAAAATAGTGCCTTCCCGTTGATAAGGTGAATGGTAACGACCTACAGGTCGTTGATGTCTTATGCGAGATTGTGATTTCTGTCCTTGTCTCATGGTTTACACCCCTAAAATGTCTTTCACATGCTGTCGTTTCTTTTTATAGCTTTGTTTGGCTTTGCTTTTCACAGCCAGACCAATAGCCGCTGGTATTTTACGTTTGAGTCCTCTTTTTAAAACTTCTCCTGAACCTTTTAAGGCTTCGGAGGCTGACTACACTTGGTCCCGCTAATTTTACCAATTCTTGCATAAAACCACTCCCGTGCATAGTGGGGGTATGATAGCGCGTCAGTGATCCTCCCAACATGTTGTTTGTTGTAGTTGTGATGTTTCCATAATACAGGGTCTCTTTTATACTTGTTGAAAACCAAGGGTAATGATGGTTTTGCCTGGGGATAAGACCAACAGGGAACCATCTGGTGTAGCCAACGACACTTCAATGCTTTCAATGTGTTGATTTCGAACTCGAATCCATTCACGATGGTAAGGTTTTATGGTCGCTCTCCCTTCTCCTTTTCTTTCTAATTCCACTTTTCTTAACAGCAAATGTCGTTGTGATCCTACAATGGTGGATTCTACAGCATCGCAATAAATCATGACTGTTTGTTTTACGGTTCCCACATGCGTATTAAACAGGACATTCAGATTTTGAAAATGCCAATCCACAGTACGCGTGAGATACAGATACGATTGACCATTCTCTTGTTTGACTTTGAATAACGAGTTTCCTCCTAATAAGTCTGATGGACTAATGCTCACAAAATGCTCTCCTAGCCATTGGTACTTATCATTGCTTTTGACGGGTGGAGTGGATGTCGTATAAGTGGTTGTGGGTAAGACAAAGTCTAAATTGGGTCCTAATTGGTATTGGTTGTTTTTGTCTTTGAACAATGTATTGAATGTATCCCTACAGAGGAAAGGGGGTGAATTTTTAGCTGTCTGTCACGAGCAAACGCATCTTCACGGGATACTTTTTTCAACACGAGGGTGTTTTCGTTCCATTCAAAGGTGGGTTTCCAAGTAGATTTCAGGGAAACAGTGCCTGTATTACCTTTGATTGTTTTCCAAGTGTCGAAGGTTGACTTTACATCTTCCATGATGGTTTGTTCCATATGGGTCATAATATTCTGCCATAATTGATGACCTGAATAGACAGGATACGAACTACGCATGACATCTTTGAAAGTCACAGTTTTGTCTTTGGGCTCAAAGTTAATAAACCAATCTCTGGCCACAGCATGACGCTTGGTCAAGGTGTAGCGATAGTTGAGTATCTTGGTGTCACTATTACTGTGAATGACCGCAGAACTATGTCCTACATCAGGGACCGAGACACTCCACAAACTGGCTTGCCAGGTATTGCCTTCTAAATTGAGTCGCACCGGTAAACGCACTTTAAAATTATTATTTTGGTTTTGGGGATGTTCATCCGTGGGGTCACTTATCAAGGTTAATCGAAAACTCTTCATAACACTTGCAAATCTTTTTTCCACACCCAAGAGTTATATTTTTTCGGCCAACCCTTCCAAGACACAAAGACTTGTTTTCCTTTGCGCTTTAACACTTGATCAATACGAAGTAATGAATCGTCTGCGACATTGACTTTCTGCAGATCGGGTTCGTAAAATGTTCCTTTTATAGGAGACCCGTCCCATTCCGTGAGTTTATACGTTACCACTGGTTTTGTCGTATAGATTTGTTTCACTAAAAACACTTCTTCGGTCCACCCAGGCAAATACCCTTTTTTAAAAGGACGAAATTTTTTATTGAGTCTTACTTTATCACCTACTTGACATTACGGTTTTTTCACTTTGTTGTCTTTTTTCGTATCGTATAAACGATACCAAATTTCGGTTTCGTTGGACTCGTTGACATTGACAGGTTTTTCTTGAATACTACGATGATAGGAATGATTATATGCTTTCACTAAAGCAGGCAACACATCAATATACTTGAGCGTATTATGCGCAGTAAAATAGCGAAACATGTTCGTTTTCAAAGTTCGATTCCAACGTTCCACTACGGAACCGTGAGGATCTCCATGCGTAGAAAAATGATTCACACCCTGTTTTTTAAAAAAGGATTGCACGTTAACATTATAAAATTCACCGCCTGAATCCGTCTGTACTTTTTGAGGTAAACGATCTCCTAATCTTGCCCATAGTCTTTGTAAGGCTTCTACCATCGCTGTTGCGCTTTTACTCTTTAACGGCTCTACCCAGGCAAATTTTGAGAGCACATCAATCACCGTCAGTAAATATTTGTACCCTTTGTTGTATTTGGCTAGTTTTTGCATGACTACCAAGTCCATCACAAATTGTTCGTTGATGTTAAACACCAGGGTGGGTAATGTTTTAAACCGCCGATGGCTTGGTTTGTGCAGAGTGTAACTCAGTACTTCTTGCAGTTCCTTCTTGGCTTTGGACACGGGAATCTTGTGTGCTTTGGCAAATTTGGCAACACCTCCCAGTGATCCAGGCTCGGTAGGATCGACATACGAAGCGGATAATTTCGTTGACATAGTACACTAAAGGGCGACTTGCTAAATACCAAAATGAATACGTGTTGTTGGCATGATGTTTCTTTAAATAGTCAAACACCTTGATTCCTTCGGATGGATGGTGTCGATGCAGCCAAGTGATGTACACTGCATATTGTCCCCAGGTTGTATGGATATGATTTATCATCCATTGAAACATTGGGATAGGAGGACAAGTGTCTTCAGAGCATAGGTCGTTTAACAAACGACGACAAATCCACACCGTACTTCTATACTGAAGGTTTCCCATGACTGAATTAATACTTTTCAAAACAAATGATCGATTTTTATACGTCTTTATATTCTATTTTTAGAACACATTTCATTCCCCCTGTTTGAACATGTTTAATTCTCAAGGGCTAGGGTTTAACCCTAACCTAATTAACATTTTAACCCTAACCCTAATCGCAAGGGGCTAGGGTTTAACCCTAACCCTAACTCTAACCCTAATCCCAAGGCGCTAGGGTCTAACTCTAACCAGAAAACAACCACATAACATTTCTTTTCAACACTTTTATTTAAAAATTGACAGAACTAGTAATTGCTTGTTTCCATGCGATGCAAACTTTAAAGAGTCACTCAAAAGATTCCAGTTCCAAATGTTCTAAATGTTTCATAGGAATAAGGAGGCAATCCACATTTTCTTCTCTCTGCATTGTTTGCATCACATTCTCGAAAAAATCTCTTCTTTTTCTTGTTTTTGCTTGTCTGTTTCTTCTGGTGCATATACATTCACCAATTGAGCAAAAAAACGTTCCTCCACGGGTGTTAAAGGCAATCCCTTCTGCTTTCTGTTGCGACAATAGGGAGCCAAACTGCACACTTTTTCAGGCAAATAACCAAAAGACCAGTCCTCATACACTGCTTTGGCGATGGCTGCTTCGTTCTTTTCATACTTTTCAGCCCCGGGAGGAGGTTTCCACTCATCATATTTGCTTGCTATGCAGGCATTTAAGAACTTTTCATCCGCAGGTGACAGAGAATGACCTTGGCTTTTTTGTTTTTCTAAATACTCGGCTACATTTGCATCAGCTGGAGGAAGATGATGCCATCCTTTCACACGAGAATTAAACCTATGGACTCGACTGAAAGGTGCTTGGCAGAGGAGTGCTCTTCCAAGGACACTTTGTTTGCACTTTTCTTTGTTCTTCTTGTTTTTTGGCTGATTCAGCAAATTTTTTGGCTGATTCAGCAAACTGGTTCAAACATGAAGTTTGAGTTTGGACATCTTTTTTGTTGTACCATCCATTGCGTTGTTTCCACGTTTCAACATTCGCTTCCGCTTGTCGCATCCATTCTGCTCTGCTCAGGTTTGTCGCATACTTGAGATTATGGAGGGGTCTCTTATCGATAAACAGGGATGTGTGAATCCACTGAAAATATTTGCAGCGAGTCTCAGCTGAAGCGGGTGTTCCACAGGTTAAGAAGACTTTTTTCAGGTTTCTGGATGTCTTACTAAGGCGAAGGATAGGAATTCGTGAGCAATGACATTTCAATTCTCCCCATTGGCTTTTTACTTCTGCATGCATGTCTTTCTTTAAGGCATCATATACTTTCAGTTTGTCTGCATTCTTTCCATAAAATCTTGGGCAGAGTTTCTTTTCGTCAAAACAAGGGAGCAAAAATTGAGTGTTTAAAGGACCGTCAGGACCTCCAAAATCGACGTTCATCATTGCAAGATCTTCTTCTATACTCATTTCACAAGTCATGGTGACTGACATTGTGATTTGACCAGAGATTGCCCCAATTTTATAAGACTCCTAAGGTCCCTAGGGTATTGGGCAAGATCGGGCAAGAATCCCAAAGGGGGTTAGACAAATAAACACACGCTTGACTGAGATCACATTGTTTAATTTTAAACAACAACAAACTTTTTTACAACAATCAAGAACAAAGTGTTTTTAGGGAAATTTAAATCCTCCTTCTTCTACTTTTGGTCGTTTCTGTAATCTTTCTTGTACCATGTCATGCATTCGTTTCTTGAGAGCTGAGCGTGTACAAGCTTTAGGGACCTTCACAGGTTTAGGTGCTTGGTGAATCCACTGAAAGTAATTACACCTGGCTTCTCTCTCCTTAGGACAGCATGGGAACACTTTGTTTGGATTTCTTAGTGTTTGACTCAGCTTGAGTCTAGGCACTAATCCACAATGACATGCAAAGGTTCCCCATTCTTGTTGGATTTTGGGATGAATGCTGTTACAAATGGTATTCAACACTGTCTGCTTGCTGTCTGCATTGCCAAAGTACACGGGGCATGTATAACAAATGGCAAGTCCTTGTTCAGTCAGTACAAAGTTGGTATGCAAAGGTTTGCTTGCATCCATCAGATATTCTTGCAAAGTCAGTTCTCCTAAATTAGGTACATCGAATTCCCCTTCTATAGGCCACCATTCCACTTGTTGACCCTCTTCCATGATTTGCACGGGAGCTAGGTCTGGTTGCGTTTCCATTGAACTTGGACCATTGAACAGATCTCGACAGGCTTGCTGCAATTCCTCATAGGAAGGAAGTTGTTTATTGACAATCATTTGAGGTTCTGGGTCGAGGTATTTCTGCAACCGAATTTTATCATCTGTAGTGTAGTGAGGTGCTGTCCATTCTTTTGTAAGAGGTTCAGTATTCTCGGTCATTGGAGGTTCTGGAGTTTTTAGAACGGATTGAACCACTTCTTCTCCCGTCCTATTTTTGGTTTTTCTGGTTTTCTTCGTGGGAGCTTCCATGTTAAACGGTGGATCTTGCAGATGGCACATAATGAAAATCACATCAAACACATAGATTTATACTTACTTGACATTCCTTAGGGAATTGGACATGTCCGGGCAGTGACGTCACTCCTGTCACGAACTTGCATGAATCACCCCCTTGGGACTTGAACATGTTAGGGCAGACTATAAAAGAGACTAATTAGCTATTGTCATTAGTAAACAACATGACTCAGCCAAATGACAACTCGTTTTATGTAACGCTGACTAGTCAAAAAACACAGGAATTTCCAGACAATTTACCCACGCAATTTCAATACCGTTTGCCTCAAAGCTTATGGTTACCGGGCAAATGGAAAGTGGGTTTGGCAAGTGTGTTTTTACCTGGCGTTTCCAATCCCATTCCCCATGTTGTCACATCCCATGTCAGTTCCTCTCTGACGGAACATCATGACACAAATCCTACCAAGCCTTTCGGTATTCGCTCGATTCACAACCTGTACAAAGGGAGTGATACCGATATTTTATTTCAACAATATGCCAAAGCTTTCAAATCTAGTCAATCTCAAGAATTTTTGTCCCAACTTAAAACAGCAGATTTGCAAGATGCCTCCAATGGATTTGATTTTATGTCCAAAGTTTTTTGGTGGATGGAACAGGATTTAAACAAAAAAATACCCACGGGGTATGAATTTGCAGATAGTAATGATAATTGGAGAATAGATGTTTCTGCTCAAGATAATTACACGAGTTGGTTGCTTCGGCATTACAATGTTGAAAGTACCAACAGAAAAAGTGTGCCTTGTTTAGCCATTAATTTGATCTTGGCTAAACAAATGGGTTGGGTTGTAGAAACAACTACCAATGTGTTTGCAGTGGGACCGAATTTACTCATGGAGCTTCCATACGGTACTACTAGTGTAAAACCAGATCCCGCGACCTGTCTCAATGCAAAATTTTCTTTTACTCAACCCATTCATGTAGTAGACGGATTGCTGTATCTTTGCTCCACGTTTAGTTGGCGCTTTGTGAATTTAAATGAAGCCTTTGACAGAGCGATTCATCGACCCTATGAAACCCCCAAAACAGTTTTCAATGTGTTAAAACCCTGGATGACTAACCTTACATTATGGAATATGGATCTTGGACTCGCCTTGAACGATAAGTTTGTAGATCTGCCTGTATCTCCCCATTATTGGAAACCCAGGACTCTGAGTGTGACTTTGTTAAGAGGAGTAAAAATTGTGGATGGTGCATCTCACGGAGATTACGCTGGGAATGGATATGGGAATTGATATGAGCTCCTTAACTCGCAACAAAACTTATACGGTGGCATTAGAGTGGTACCAAAAGGATGAGTGGCTGTTTAACCGTTCTAAATTTTCAGCGGAAGGAACGGGTTTACAAGTTCATCATTTGCGGGCTGAAAAATATACTCATGAGCAAAACAAAACCCATTTGATTTATTACCACACATTGACTATTCAATTCACTAAAACTTCAAGTAGCAATGCAACATTAAGCCTCAAGTTTGAAATAGGGTTTCCACTGTCTGCGAAATATTCAGGTGAATTAAAAGACAACACTTTTTTGGTGCTGTATGGTGTGGATGGTCATGTAGAACAGGTACCAGATGTGTATGATGATCACCCGATCATTCCCTCTTCTCACACAACCACCGAAACAACGACTACCAGTACGGGGGACAAGAAAGCTTCCACACTTCCTAAATCTCATGGAACAGACAATTTACGCCCTCTGTTTTTGTCTTGTAATTTAACCAAAAGCATTGATGGAAACAGAACCATCATGAAGTCTGTCGCTTATAATAACGAAAAAACGCTGATTGAATGTAACCCTATTCAATTTTATTCCATGAGGAGTTATTTGGTGGACATTTTAGAAGTGACTGTGACAGAATGGAATAACATTATTCCCGACTTCAATCAGGATAGTCCAGTCATTGTCACTTTACTGTTCAAGAAAAAGCAAACAGAGACTCAACGCAAATACATTAAGTTGGAAGAATCAGTGGACCATGACGAGCTCATATAA